CCATTAAACACAACAGCTTCCAAGCCCTGATGCTGACATTCCCATGCATGAGGTGGCTCATGATGATGAGGAGATATCTCAGCCAGTGGGGAAGGCTGGGACTGGCTGGGTGCTTCCCTCCTATCCTGGGTAGAGCTGGGTGCCAATGCCTCTGACAGAGCCCAGATCCCAGACCTGTTGCTCCTGTATACCTTAGAGGTTCTGAAAATGGGAGAGAAGCAAATCCTAATTCTGAGCTTTGGCTGACTTCAGCCACGGCCACACAAGGCCTTTTTCATGTGAAGTTGCAGTAGCTCCAATCCAGCTCCCATCACTGCTGACAGCAAATGTTTGTTGGCTTTGGTAGGCTCCAACTGGGCACTTTTTGATGCACATGGCTGTTTCTGATACCATGTATTTTGAATTTCTGCATTCTTCATGGAGGCTTCTGTCTGCTTCAACCTCCACCCTTCCAACATACAAGAAAGATAAAACAGAAACAGCACTGACTCTTCAAGTCCATCCCTTTGGCTATTTCTCTTAGCAAAGCGCTGATGCTGCTGCCCTTCTGCCATTCTTCCTCCAGTAACTCAGTTGTTGCCAAGGCAGTTATTGTTATCAAGACACAGGTATGGCCCAGGTACATTCTCCTCCTGCTGTATGTACCTTAACACAATGACCCATAAATGACAAACCCAGAACGAACTTGTTTTTTCCAATAGCCCTTTTCTGGGTGTCTCTGTGCTCTCACTGGCTCTGCCCACTTTCCCATCACTTGGAGCATCCTTGGGATGCAATGAGAGCCAGGCCCCCTCCAGCCCCTCTTACATCAGGATGAAGCAATAGTACTTCACATCCTTTGGCATTTCAAGCGTTAATCCAGCCCACAAAACCGAGATGATTTTTTTTTTTCAGAATTGCTTGGCCTTTTTTTTTTTCTTTTTTTTTTTTTTTTTTTTTTTTTTTTTTTTTTTTGCACTGTTAACTGACATCTGAATGGGAGATATGAATATAGAAATTATTCTTTGCTGAAAGCTGCAGAAAAGCCACAACCCTCAGATCAAACAAGTTTTTTGTGCCACAGCAAAATTAAATCCTTGTGATTTCCATATTCTTCAGTCAACAGGCTGGCGCCCAGCTCGTTGCTATAGCTACATGAGCATGGGCTGTCAGGAGCAGGGAGCCGCGCTGTCCGAGGGTTAAGTAGCTGCTTAATTATTCAGCCCAATATCTGGCAAGCACTCCACACTGACAAAGGGGGGTCTCCTGTGATCTCTGTCAGGATGGATCACTTTAACCATTTCTCCTTCCTCCAAACCCAGAACGGGCAGCAGCTCCCTGATGAAAGGACAAATGGGATTGCTTAGCTTTGTGTTTATTCCCACCTGTTTGGCTGATTTTCCTCTGTCAAACTTGCTGGATGCTCCGTGGGACTCGCTAAGTGTGCACTGAGCACCACGGAGCAGGACAGCAGGACAGCACACCTGTGCCTCAGTTTCCCCAGCTGCAGCGGGAAGCGATGCCATCTGGCAGCAGCGTTTGCTGCAGGGACCCCAGCACTGGGACACATTGCCCTGTTCTGGGCTGCTCCATTTCTGCACAGGAACGTGCCCCAGTGGCATTAATCCTCCTGCACTTCTCGTGTGGGCTTGGCACCAAGGCTGCTGGAGAAGTGCAAAGTGCAGCTGCAGAGCACCGTTGCGCAAGGGAGGCTGAGCAGAAGGGGGTGACGTGAGCTGAGTCGAGAACCTCCCCGCCATGAGGTTCTCTTTTCCTCAGCTCTGCATGTACGGTGTATTGGGAACGTAGGCTGCTTTCCTTTCCAATGGAACAAAACAACGAAAATACTTGGAAGAAGAACAACTATGCTGGTCAAGACTCTCTCATTAAGGAGGGCTGTGTTTTCGGATGACTCTCTCTCTTTTCAGCTCTCCCTTTTTATTTAACTCTGGAGAAACCTGGGCTCTTTCTTGCTCATACAAACTTGAGGGCTTTTTCTTTCTGGAAATCATATTAAAAGCGTAGCCTGACTGAGGTCCTTTGCCAAACTGATTATTGTGCTGTCCTGCAATCTGCAAACACTGGGGGTAAGGTAAGGTAACAGTGCAAAATCCACCACTTAGTCATTGCTGGACGCAAACCACCACATTGGTTATCACAGAAATATGCTGAAAGTGGATGCTGAGAGCCCCTGGGGGTCTGAGTACCTGGCCGGTGCCAACAAAAAGAGACAGATTAATGAGCTCTATAGCCAGTTGCTTCTGTACTCTTTTCTTAACCTTTATTTTCCAGAGGACTTCCAGACAGATAAAGGACAGCGCCTGGTTAATCATTTATCCATCTGCATATCCAGCTTCTCTTTTCTTTCTCTTCCCTGGCCTCAGAGGAAAAATTAACGTATTTCTTTTCTGGTTTCTCCCCTACAATCCTACGGAAGCAATTTTGGTCACAATAGGAAGTCATGTCCCATCCAATTCAGCTTAAAAAAAACATAGAAAAAAGGAAAAAAGGAAGCACGCTAGAGTGATTGGAAAGGTCTGCAGGGGAGAGAGAGGGTGCTCCAGCAGCCCTGGCCTGTCTTGAAGTGATTTCTGCTCCAGCGTATTTTTAGCTACTGTCACAGGGTGATTTCCTTGCTGGTCTGCTCGAGGTTCATGTTGCATTGCTGAAAAGCTCACTTGCTCCAGTGCAGACCTCCAAGCTAGAGAGCTTTTGACCGCGGATTTTCATCTGGATGGTTTGCTATTGTCATGGGCCAAATAGTGGAGCTTTTCCTTCGCCTTTATTCAGAGTGGAATCCCATTGGATTGGCTGCCTGACTCATCTCTGGGCACTTTCTCCCAAGCCATTTGCTCTGTCAGCCTCCCACCACCACCCCTGCCTTGCCAGGGGGTGCTTTGTCCTGGCCCTGCAGTTCCTCCAGGCTTGCCTGCAGCCTCAAGTCCTCACTCTGCAGTGATGAAGGAGTACACTGGGAGAGTGGAAGCAACTTCTCACCTATCCTGTGTGTATGGGAACTACTGAGTCATGGCCTGAACCTCTGATTGATCACCTGAGGCAAGCCATGAACCAGCCAGAGGAGCACAGGTGAAGGCAATTCTCCTGTGCTGCCGGAAGGGTGGAGCCTGGCTCCACTCCTCCTGGACCTATTTAAGAGCTGGCTACCAGTGGGGAAGGATCTCTTCTAGAGATTGCCTCTTCTGGTGTTTTGTAGGTGAGCCCAGCATAAGGGTAAGCCTTTCATTTATTCTCTCTTGTTATCATTGTCCGCTTTGCCTAACTCTCTTGATTGTATTGTGATTGTAACATCTTGATATCCATTGATTATACACCTGTGCCAACATGTAGGAAGCCTGCTGTGACACGGTTGTTTTCAGGGTGATTTACTGGGCTTCAGCTGAGCTCTGTCAGCTGTGCTTCATTTGGTCTCGCTGAGGACTCAAATACAATATTTCCATTCTGGATTTTGGTGGCAGGAAAGGTGATGAGATTGTGGTGACCCTGGTGAATCCATGTGCTTCTTGTGCATCAGCAAAGGTGGAACCAGGCAGTCACTTTGTTCCGTGTTTCCCATTTTTAAAATGACTCTGGCTTTTGGGTACTTCAGTTTATTGCTCAGAGTCATGAGAAGCCTCAATTGCGGAGGTTGGGCAAAAGCACTGCCTGCCAGAAATTGGGTTCTTTCTGAGGTTTTTACTGAGCATTGGATTTGCTGATAGCACCAATTCCTGCATTTTCTCCAATCTCAACTCCAGTGCCCATGTAATTTTCTATGCCAGAAGCACAACCAGACCTTTGGCAGCATTTAAAACCTTTCTGAGGTGAATAGGTATCTCCTGGTGGCACAACAACAGCTTGCAAAGTGACCAACACCACCCTGGCATCTCCAGATCAGCTGCTGGGACCACCACGAAGGACAAGATCTCACATCCAAATCTCTGTCATTTGTCCCTCATCTGCCAGCGCAGGCTTTTTCCTATGGCACCTCAGGGTGTGAAGGTGCCTCAGCCAACAGCTCACAGAATGTTTGAGTTCACAGTTTGGTTGGAAAAAACAGCATCACTTAAATCAAGGAGGGAGGCAAAAGCTGTCCTCCTTTAAGAGGGGAAGCCAGACGAACAGGCCCACAAGCACTGCAGCACGCGGCTGTGTTGAGATTAACTTGCTTAATTGTTGCACGCTGTTAGCAACAGTTACCATGTTTACCGGTTGAGTCAGTAATGCTTGTTAAAACTCCAAAGGACCTCATGTAATAAAAAACAGCCTTGGAATGGTCTTTCACATTAGCTACTGTTGCTTTGCTACAGCAAACATACGTAACTCAGCCTTCTCTACCAAGCCTTCTCTGGCTCTGAGATACATCCACCCTCCACAGACAAGGTATTTCAAATTCCACGTTTTGATAAGTGTGATGTTTTCTCCCTCCCAGGTGTTATCTCTGCAGGTTGTTTCCCTGCCCATTGCCATGACAATGAAGGCAGCCATACAGCATCACAGAGTTATCCCTGCTAAGGATTAATTCGGCTCCAGGGAAATGCAGTTTGAACTCCAACATCACCTTGATTCTACCTGGCTTTTCAGAAGGATCTCCGTGGTTGTGGGGAATAGCAATAACAGATAATCAGTTCTAAATTACCCCCCAAAAAAGGCAATGGTCACAATCCAGTTAAAGGAAAAAAAAAGATTTACTCCTCTGTCCCAAGAATCAGGGCTCACCAAATGCTCCCAGAGAAGGGCTCTCCAGCTAAAGATCCTTCCTTACAGGCAGCCAGTGCTTGCATAAAGATTAGGGAGGGGTGAAAGCTGGTTTCCACCCATCCAGACATGCAGGTGAATTGCTCTATGGGAATTGTTGAGTCACAGCCTGAACCACTGATTGAGCACCTGGGGAAAGGACCAACTCAACCCTGGGAGCACAGGTGAAGGCAATTCAGCTGTGTGACTGAAGGGGTGGAGCCTGGCTGCAGACAACCTGAAACAACGGGGATAAGGTTGGCAATTTCTCTGGTGATTGGAAATGGCTCAGAGCAAAGGCAATGCCCCAGGACCTGCAGCATCCTTCCCATGCAGCACTCAGAGCACAGTGGGCGGCTGGTCAGGTGTGTACACTTTTCTGTCTGAATGATACTTGTGTCTGTGGGATCTGAGGGATGTTTTTCAGATGGAAAAAGTGCTTGTGTTGGATTGTCAGGGAGTCAGGAACTACATTAATAACCCCCCACAGACCTCATAAAATCAGAGGGATGCTGCCAAAGGAAAAAGACTGAGTGGAGTTTACAGTTGCAAGAAGCATGGAGGACAAATCAAAGCTTATGATGCAATTTTGTGTGAATAAGGTCAGAACATTTTGTTTTGGCTGCATGAGTGGGACTTTCACAATGAGATGCAATGTTGAAATATTTTGACTATATTTTGGTGAAGGAGGTAAATCTCAGTATCTAATTTCTCCATGACTTCCTGCTGATCTGAAGGGTGACTGAAACATTCTATTCCTATGAGGTATGGGTGGAGTTGCACTGTCACTCCCAGCTCTACCTGAGGAGAAATATTGATTCTGAATCCATTCTGTTCTCAGAGAAAATTGGGTGCTCCTTCAGCTCTGTCACTGATGGTTGCTCCATTGCTGTGTGCAACTAGTGCTTCCTAAAGGCATTATTTAATCCATGTTCATGACTGGGATAATGCATTCTGGGTGGGATGGTGAAAGTGATGTACTCAGGAGAGGAGGGGAAGGTCAATTCATAGGAAGCTCTTAGCAGAAAAACTCTCCATAAGAAGCTGTTTGTGCAGAAGAGAAAATCCCTGCTTCTCAATGGAGGGAAGAGGAGGAGGAGCTCTTATCATGTCTCTGGTGTCTTCTCAAGAGGGATTAAAGAATAGCTGGGCATTCACAGAGAATCCAGGCTTCCAGTTCACATAGCCAGGTTTTTTTTTGTTTGTTTGTTTGTTTTGGGGGGGGGGGGGGTCCTTTCACAAGCAATGACCAACATATACATTAATGTGCCTGAAAGTCCTGCTCTGCCTTCCGCACAGAGCAGACATACCCCTCTGAAGGAGATGAAGACATAGCCCCAGGGCAGGCAAATGCTGAACATGGAGCTTCTCAGCCATGCACCGCAGTGGGGATCTGATGGAAGAAATGAATGCACTTCTTTGCTCAACAGTATGACTTATAATTCAAGGGGGAAGAATGAGCTCATGAGGACAGCCTGTTTCACCTTCTCTCCCACTCCTCATGGGTATAGAGATGGGTAGGAGAGTCAAAAGCTGGCAAAAGCATCGGCCAGAGGAAAACTGACAGGCTAGCAGCTCATTATTACTCATCCTGGTGGCTGTTCCACAGGCAGTGATTTAATGTTGCACTTTTCACTAAGTGCTCTGATAAACATGCTCTAATTCCTTCAGTGCCTCTTGCAGCTTGAGTTTGAAGTAGTGGAATGACAGGAAGATTGAGGCTTTGCAGAAGGGCATTTGGTTTGGAGCCTTGGCCAGTGCAAGTCATCCTGGCTGTGGGGTTTCTGCATCCTTTTTCAGACCCAAAGCTGGTAAGTGTCTTTTGAAGTGTAGATGTCTTGGAAAAGCAGTGATACACAATTCTATTTAAATGATAGTAATAAAAGGAAAACAAAGTTAGGAAATAAATGTAAACCATCCCTAATCGCAACCAGGAAATCAACTTTGCTAGAGTGAGGCTGAGCATGTGTCTAATCTGGGCTCGGGCGAGGAACAGGAGAAATGTAGAAGGAATCAATTTTTACTATGTTATGCCGAGCCTCTCACTGACTGACACAAGCCAGCTGTCAGCCTCAGAACTTAAAGCATAACTTGACCAAACCGCCCTCAACTTTGCGACCAAGATCAATTGGGGCACATGCATGGCTCCAGGAAGCTTCATCCTTTTGGAAACAAGAAGCAAATGAGGGTGGCATTAGTGGCATGGTGCATGTAAGCAAATGGATGTCCTCAATATGAATGTGCTTCAGGCACAGCTGTTGGAAATATTTCAGAAGAGCCTTCTGATTCTTATCCCTTTGGTACCACCTTGTGCAATGGCAAGATCGAGCTCTGGATCTTCCAGCCTGACAACCTCTGGTCAGCTTCTTCATCCTTTCATAAAACAGCAGCCCCAGTGAATGCGGGATGCTCATGCTCTCTCATCGACTCTTCTCTTGCTTGTTCCTCTTCATCTCAAGCCTTTCCAATCTTCAGAAAGAGCAGAATGGAAAGAGAGACCATATGCTGTGGCCTCTAATAGGGTCTTCAGAAAGTGCCAGAGCACTGCATTTGAGATATTGCTGTGATAGTTCAGAGACATGACAGTAAACTGGCAGAATCCAAAGCAATCAGAGTGTGGTAAACCTGAAGCATTTAACATATACCGTGGTTTGGAAAAAAGATTTGGTCAAAAAGTCTTCAAATTACTATATGGTGTCAGAGCAACAGAAAGAGCAAGAAGCTTGTTCTGAGAGCAGGGATCTAGTTCAGATATATTCTACATGGCTATAGGCACTCACGCATATATAAATGTTGAGATCAGCACCGGATGGTGTTTTTTATTTAGTTTCACGCTTTGTTAACTTCTCTAAATTATGTGGAACGCTTTTTTTTTTTTTTAATACCCAAACTTTTGCCTGTTCCCAATTACCAAAAGAAGGAGGGGAAAGAAAAAAAAAAAAAAAAAAAAAGGAAAAAAGAGCTGAGTCTGTGGAGCAAGTTGGCACCACTATGAAGCAGCCTCCAACTACACAATGCATCCTTCTTGCAGGAACCATCAGAGGCAAATTGGGGGATGGAGAGATGGAGGAGTTAAGGCACATGGTGGTAGGCTGCAGGGAAGACACTGACAGATTGAAAAGGGTCTTGAGCATTTCTGAAGCCCTGAAGGAAGTGTCAGAGATATTTTGATGATACTCATCCCTGCCTTCTGGTTTGGGTACTTGGAGGATTTATATTAACTCAAAAATGCAGAAAGAAAATCTGCAGTGCTCCTTCTGAGTAGTCCGCTAAATCTTACTAGATTCAAACCAAAGCCTGGGATTCTGTCAGAGGCTCACCTTTAACAGGACAACTGCAGCTAACCAGAACCTGGGATGGCTCTGGACATGTAGTTTGTTCTCCTATTGGGTCTTTATCCAGTGTTCAAGGTTGCTTTTTGATATGACAATTGAAGATGGTTTTTATTCAATTATTGCATTAGTGGGAGTCTGAAGCAGGCTCATGATCGCCAGGGTTATTGCTGTATGAGTTAATGTTCACACCCCTTTTGGGTGTCCCAGAGGAGTGCTGCAGGCTTATGGCCAAGTTTTATTTTGACTTGGATCCCAGTGTGCAAGCCAACTGTTTCTGCATTTCATTTCTGTCATATCCTGTACATTAAAACACCATTAATTCAAACCTTTTGTTTCTAAGAACAACTGTGCTGTAAAACAGCAATAAAAAGCTGCCAAAGTTCTCTTAAACCAGTGTAATATGTTCATTCATGCAAACTGGGACATAAAAATAAAAAAAAAAAATACAAACACACTTTTGTCAAAAGCATACTACAAACAGTATTTCTTTCCCCCTCAGCTTTGTGAGAAGATGAGGGGTTCAGTCCAAGAGCAGGTTTCTCCCCGTGGCCATGGGCCTTCCTAGCACCTTTCTCCCATTTTTACCATAAAGTAAAGAACAAATTGGATCCTGTTACTTTTATCTGACACTGTGCTTGTCCTTAGGTTTAATTAGCTCATGCTTGCAAGGTGGAAAAGGTAGTGAGGGGTGCTTTCTGCAAACCTGTGAGCTGAGCAGGGATTTGTACCAGGCTTACTCCCCTTTTCCTCGCAGCTCTCCTAAATGCCTGTGGCACAGCCTCACGCAGCACCTGCTGCTTCTTCTGGGCATGAGGCCATGTGTGCAGCCAGTGCTGGGCAGGGAGCAGAGCACTGCTGGTCCTTGTGTTCCTAGGGATGGAGGGGACAGCCACCACAGCCACATCCTTGTCCCAGATGCAATAGCTGAGATGAGAAGTGTGCACAGCTGTTGTATCCAATGTCATGTAGGAGTGTTGCCAGCTTGTGCATGGCATTTATTATTCTTCCTCTGAACTTGATAATTTTCTCTTGACTTTCTCGTGAAGAAGTCTCAACTTCTGTGTTTTTTTTTTTTTTACCAAACTCAGAGTTTTAATCAACAGGATACACTTGCCTCTTGCACCCAAGCAGAATCTGTTCCATAGCCTCTCTCCTTGTTCACATTGTTCACTTGGGATAATGAAGATGATAACCAAGGGTCAGGACACCATCAAACACACTCCTCTGAGACACAAGGGCTGTAGCTGAGCAACAGGTTGCCCCACAGGAGTCCTTCATCTCTCCAGCAATGTCGTTTTCCCATCACAGATAAAAGATTCTTGGGGTTCTTCAGGTGCTGCCATCAGCTTTGATTTATGGCAAGTTTTTCTTGTACTTCCCTTCTTTCTCCCAAACTGGGGCCTTTTAGCATTCTGAATTGAATGCTTATGAGGCAAGGAGAAGTTAGAATCTGGAAGGAGGAACTGGGAAACATTCCTGTAATGGCACTGGGATGGCATCTCTGGGAACCATGGAGGCCACAGGCCACCAAGCCTCCCTCAGGTCTGGCTTTAGAGGTGCATTGAAGAAAGTTTAGAAGCTTTAAGAAAAAAGTAGACAGCAAAGCATCGAGAGTGCATGACTCAGTCTGTGCCCTGAGTTCAACCTGCCGTTACCAACTAGGAGCAAACAGGTTGGGCTCCTTCATCACACACTCTGTCTTTTGTTTTGGGGCTGGCCAGGGAATATTTTCAGTGGAACTAAAACCACTGTAAATCCAAGCCCCATGTTGCTCAAAGTCAGCTCAGAAAGAAAGAAAGAGGAAAAAAAAAAATAAATCCAATACCACCAGGAGACAGGGAGAGATCTTTTCCCAGGACACAAATTCAAAATATACCAGATGAATTTATGAACTGGTGGTTAAACCGATGCTCATGGAGTCCAAGATACGCCATGAAACAAGCTGCAATGCATAAATGAGCTATGTTTTGGGGAGGATATTTTGCCCCCATTTGCTTTAGCATTGTTTCTAAAATTTCCCAAATCACATCCTGATCATTCTCTCTCCTCCCCTGGCTTAAAAGCCTTGTTTTGGCTCTTGCTGCAAGGAATAATATAATGAAGAAGGGGAGGGAAAAAGAATCTCGGTCAGCTGCTAAACATATAAACCTGCAGATTTATTTAGTAGTGATAATCCCTGAAGGAGAAACTTATTCAGTACTTCATCATTGGCGAAACTGCCCACATCTGTTCAGAGACAGCAGCAGCACAGAGGGAACCAACCTGTTGTATTGCCCTCCTCCTGTTTGAGTCTTCTGTGCTCACCTGGATTCTCAGTGCTATTTATGGTGTTTTTTCTCCTTTGTGGAAATGCTGGTGTCCTCTTTCCAGGTTCAGTCAGTGAGCTCGCCTTTGAAAAGTACCCCAGGACAGAGCCAGAAGCTCTGGCAGAAGCCCTCTCCATGCCATGTGCCCTACTCAGGGGTTTGTTGCATCGTGCCATGCATTTTGGGATCCATGCAGGATGGGTTGCAGCTTGCTGGTCTCCTGGCTGTCTTCATTACAAAAGTCTTCCATTACTGTTTGCACTTGGCCAGTGACGTGGGGGTGCTGGGGAGGCAGAGCCCTTGACTCCTCCCAGTTTGGAGGGAAGTGACCTTTTCTTGGGCATGAGCCACTTCCAGATTTCAAGAAGGGAGATGAATGAAACTGAATGAATGCAACTGGTGCAAGTACATAGAATGGGCTGTGGGTCATGGCTACTGGGAGTGGGATGGGGGCTGCTGGCCTCTAGGGTTAGTGTTAATGAGAGGTCTGGATTGCTCAGGAGAAATTAAGAAATGACCAGACAGGAGAGAGCATGGTTTGCAGAGCTGGACCTTCAATCTCTTGTCTCCACCTCCAAGAGCTGCAGAAGGAGACAGAGGTACCAGAGGTGATGCACTATCCCATGCAGGATGCACTGCCCTGAGCCACCCCAGGATTTGGCACGCTCCAGCTCTTCCCAACACATATCACTTCTTTCAAGCTGTCCATTGTGGTGCAGGAAACAGTCCTTCAGAGATGGCAGAAATACGAGATATGGCACTGAGATTTGGTACAGGGAGGGCTCAACAGGGGGAGAGGAGGAAGGACACATCTTTGAATTGGGATGAAGCACTCACACATTTACATGTTCTTTACTCAGGGCTTGGATCAGACCTAGGAGCCACAGAAGGGCTGGAGATGCTGGTTGTCCTGCAGCCACCAGTGCATTCCCTGGCACCAGAAAAAGGCCAAGTTCAGCCTATAAGCTGTAGCAAACCAATTCTGGGGCTTGAGAGCTGCTGCTTCACCTCAGCAGTTCAAGAGTGCTGTTCCCATCTTCTGAGCAGATGGAGCCAAATCACGCCTGGTTTGTCCTTCAGTTTCCAAAGCTGTGGCTGTCACAGCCTTCTATGCTGTTGCAGTGTTATCTAAAACAAGGGCCATGTCCAAATGATATGTGTTATCCTGCAGAGCTGAGTTAGGCTATTTCCAGTGCGTCATTCATGGTGATTTTATTTCCTCTTAACTTTTAATTTCTTCATCAACACATGCAGAGAAATAGTTTAAAATTGCTCTAATCCCAATAGCATTCAAGCTGAGTTCCTTTTGGCTTGCAAACTAATTTTGTTTTCATTGGAAAAATGGATCCTGTTTATTTAATTTTCCTCACTGAAAACAAAATATGTGGGTGGAGGAAATGGGACAGATTGGAAAATACTTTGACTGATAAAAACAATCATTTCGACATTATAGGCTTTTATATCTGCAACAGAAGCCATAAGAAAGTCATTACCAAAGAGTTACTGCAGATATCTGCAACTCCAAGCATAGGTGGAAATGCTGATAAAGTGCTGATACTCCATGCTAGCTGCTGGAAGAGGGAGACTACAGGCTGGATTTTAATAGGCACCAGGGAAACTGCAGGTTGATTAAATGGATGTGTTGATATACACTCTACAGCTGGTGGGAAAACATGCTTCACCCAAGTGCAGAAAGTTTCACCCCAAACTCCAAAGTCCTGATCTATTTCCTGAAAAATACAAATCAGAAAGAATTTTCAACTTCAGATTAAAAAAAATATATATATATAAACACACTTTTTGCCCCACATAGAAGTTTTCAGTTAAAAAAAAAATAATCAATTGACTTTTTTTGTAAAAACATTTTGGCCTTAGATAATGGTGGCCTTAAATTTGATTCCTTTGCTATAGGTTGTGCTCGAAGGGCTGCGTCTTACGAGTGGCATCTGGGGCTGCGGCTGGGATCTGCTGTGTGGTGCCAGCTCCCTGGCAAGGGCCTCATCGGAGGAAGCTTAGGGAGCTTTGGCTTGGGAAGAGATCCTGACTCTTCACGTCTGAGCTGGGATGAGTTCCTCCTTCCTAACGACTTACCCACATCTCAGGTTCAGGGAATTCTTGTGTGAGTCATAGTCTGCCGAAGAGTTTTTCCTTCTCTCCCCAGATACTAATATTTTGAACAAGTCTCACTCTTTATTATCATGGAGATATAAGGGAAATATCCCACAAGGACAGGGGTAGGTCTGAACTGCATGTCAGAAACTTTGCTGTTAAGATTACATGTGATGTGTGACCAGACTGTTTGGATCTGTGGTCGGGCCCCAGAAGATGTGTGTGGTGACTGACCACATCCCCTCCGGAAGGGGAATGTTTGAGTTCATTGTGTCGGTGAAATGCTGGGGTTTGATCGTGGCGTGGATTTAGTGGAGGTGGGAGAGGGGAAAGGGGCTACCGGGGCCGTGCTCCGCCCCGCACACTCGGCCGCAGGGAGCAGCTCATTTGTCCAGGACGCACCGGACTCCGCCGTATGGTGGATGCATCATATTTCTGTCTGCGATTTCCTGCACGGAAAAATGAGAGCCAAGAGCAACTGCTCCTACATCCCCTGGGGTGGTCCGAAGCTGGGGCTGAGGCTACAGATGTGCTCGCGCCTCCCCATCACCGTCCCCTCCCAGATGGCAGAGCACCACGTTTCAGAGGCTGTTGGCCACGTATCCACTTTCTTTGGAAATGTGTCAGGAGCAGTTTCTGGTTCATTTTTTATCTTAAGTTCATCAGATATTTCTCTGGTGGCCCTTAGCTCAGCTGCCAGGTCATATGTAGGTAGATACCGTTGGATCGGGTTGTGCCAGGAACCTGACCATGCTCTCCTGCATCAAATCACATCCACCAAAACACCTACATACTCAAAGCTGGCAAGAAGCACTGTGTCTCAGGACTGTATGTCAGGAAGAAGCCTATGGTAGTTTGCAGGTTCCTGGAAAGCTTTGCAAGCCCTTGACTTGGTGACCCAATGCTGGTGTGGCAGCTCCTGGGAAAACTGCAAGTTCCATCAGTGATGCTGAAAACCTTATCTGTGGTGTTTACATAATGATGATTTCATGTTTACTGTTGTTTAAATTGCAGCTTGATGGAGGGACTCCTCCAGAGGTGTTTCTTCTGCAGAAACTTACTTCTTCTTGCTGTAGCCTTCAGGTCTTGTACAAACTATTCTCGGAGCAGAATTGACTTTTGTTGCATAATGTATGTTTGCATAAGAGTTAGTGGACTGCTGCTGTTAATGGTGGTGGTAATAACTGTGTCTGCTCCCGACAGCAGCTGCTCAGCTGTGATAGTAAGGTAAGCAGCCACAGGCAGATGCCAGTGGTGCAGCTGTCCTTACTGCTATCCTTGGGTTATTTGTATTACAGCAAAACTGCTTTGCTGCATGCCACAGAGATGCTCTCGAACATAATTTGGAGGATGCTACCAAATATCCCGCTTGTCTAATTGTAATGTGATGTTTCAATTGCTGCACACACTGCACTGTTTTGCATTCAGCCATGCAAAACGCTCCCAGGTTCCAGTTCCTACAGATTTATGAGGTTGCTCACATTTTGCTGCTGGCGTGCTCTTTCTCCCCACTGGTGCAGCGGAAGCCACTTAAAACTTGAACCGAAACAACTGTAACATGTGGAAGGTTAACTCCCACCATCATATATTGCTGTGTGGGGAGATGGGGGTGGCTGATCTTTTGAATAAATCGTGTATTTTTATTAAAAATTGTGATACCTTACCTGTGTTTTATTATTGTCAGCGTAGCTGCCTGTCAAGAGGCCATTTGGTAGTGCATGTCAAGAAGCATGTCAAGCATGACGAGTCAAGCAGCAAAGGCAGCCGTGGAACAACCACTTTGGTTTGCCTTGTATCCCCAGTTTGTACTTAGGTTGGAGATGAGGAGCTCCCTTTCCAGGGATGAGCGGGGCAACACGTGCCTCAGACTCAGTAATGCGAACACTGGAGTATGATGGAAATCCCCCCCAAAACGACACGCAAGTCACTTTAACCTGTAGAATAAGTGTTTAATTCTGTAGAATAAGTGCTAGTTAAAATGTTACTTTCTGCCACTGGGGCAGTGCCAGCTTCTTTGGAGGCTGTGCCACTTCATTTGGGGAATGTAGCCAGTGGGACCCTAATTCTGTCATTTAAATAGTGGGTCAGCTCTTTGGGAACCCTAAAATAGTGAATAACCCAACATCTCAGTCTCCTGCACATGATCATGACCCTCCCAGTTGTACAACTGTACTCCAGGACCAAATTAACCTTCGCACCAGTTCTCAGATAGAAAAGAGGCATTGAAATGCAGGGTAAAAAGAGTGATTTTGGTGGCTGAGATCCTTCAGCGTAGAAACCAATTGAGGGCAGGACATAGACGGACTCAGCTCACGGGGGCTCCAGGATTTCCAGGCACGTGCTCTCCATGGTTTGCCATCAGCACTAGGGCAAGGAAGCCTGTGCTGTGGCTGCAGCTTTCAAAGGGCAATTGTGTGAGATTCTGCAGCAGTGCCATGGGATGGGAAGGAGCCATCCACGGAGCAGCTCAGCTATGAGTCTCCTGCGAGAGCCATGCAGCTCCATTGGCTTTTCACACCTAATTACAAAGGAGAATTCACCAGGCTCATGGTTCCCTTTGGTGGGATCATGGTACCAATCAGCAAACAGCATCACTGTGTTCAGGCTGTCATTACTTTTGGGGCCCAGGGTCAGATGGAAAAAAAGCACTTGATGAAACTGTCTGTCTAGAGGAATGTCCTCCCTGAAGAATTTCATTGTCCAAGTTAATGGTCCAATAAAATCCCTAAGTCTGGGCCCTTGGCTTTGCAGCGTGTTATTACAATGCGCTGCGATCCGCTTCGGATGGATGTGAAAGTGCAGTGTGTTGGACATGGTTTGGAGCCTGTGGTGCTGAGGGTGGCTGTGCTGGATAAGGCAGTGGGCACACAGCTGCGTACCAAATTTGGAGTTTGTGCCTGCAAAACAGTGCCTTCCACAGACCTATCTACAGCACTTTGTCAACTGCACTGAGCCCATAGAGCCTGGATCAGGGTGAGCATGGCAAAGTGGATATCATGTGGTAGTGCTGTGACAAACCAAGGCTGGTATAAGCAATTAAAGGTGATTAAATGTGTGCAGAGCCCATCACTGATGATTGATACAAGGGAGTTCACCGTAGGTTGACACTGCTTGCTGGTCCGTTGGGGGATCTCTGCTCTGTGCATTACCTGTACCATAATTTTGAAAAACTGAACTAAATTCAGATTCTGACTCATTCTGCTTTCCCATTCTATTTGGCCTGCAACACTCACCAACAAATGCTACAGAGTGTACCAAAAAACCCCCAAACATTTGTGTGAGTGTGTTCTAGTAGCATAGGATGGACCATTTTATGCTTGGCTACTTTTTGCTTACTAAGTTAGAGAACTGCAAAATGCAAAAGAAAACACACAGAACTCACCCCAGGAAGCTTTAATTCTCGGTCAAAAGCCACAGTTTATGTCACAAAACTCTTGGGAAAAATAGCTGACGCATGGAGCAGAACAGATACCTTGGAAATCACAATAGAAGGGACTTGCACAGAAATTCAGAGCTGAGGAAATCCATTTCTTAGATGGAAAGCAGTTCTTTAAAAGAATTGGATCCAATAGGAGAGACGTAGATTCCTGGGGGAGAGGTTGGAAACTAATTTTTTTTTTTATGTTGCAGGATCACATTACTG